ACGACCACGGATTTCTCTTTACCAGCTGTCGATTGACTTTACTGGAACATTCATGCCGATGCTGTTTCCGAGGCAATCTCCTTAGATTCCGGTAACGAACATCATCAGAACAAGGTATCATCGTCACAACCAAATTCAAGCTAACGGTGGAGCAGACCTTAGAATCTCTTCACCCAACACTTTCACCTGAAATGGAATTAAACTCAACATACACTTGAGTTGTATCAGAGCAAACGAGGATAGAGAGAGAGAGAGAGAGAGAGAGACAGGAGTGAATGATACAATTGGTCTGCGCTGCGAAGGCACCCAGTTGCGACGGCTCGAGGTTGGTGATGGCTTTATCTGACGCACAAGTTTCCGCCTCATCTCCCCGATGCATGTGTGTATGTGTATGTGTATGTTTATGTGTACGCGTATACGTTAGTGTGTGTTGTTTACAAGAGAGAGAGAGAGAGAGAGAGAGAGCTGTAGATGAGCTATAAACTACCCTCGTAGGTATGTAGACCAATCCGGTGGGGTTCGTGTTTTGGTCGTAGTCCCCTTTCACTGCGCATATCCGGTCTGACCCCAATTCGGCAACTCGGTTGTACCAAGTCGACTCTCTGGGGCAGGAAGATAAGGCGGTAGGGGCGGATTCTTTGATTCATCCTTGGCGCCGATGCCAAATTCCAAAAGACTGGATCAATTTAACAATATTTCACTTATTTACCAGATGCCTCACTTTTGATTAAACCGTTAATTTGCCCTTTTCTTTTCTCAGTGCTCAATTTGTCGACCCGCAGATACAACGACGAAGAGCCGAGCTCCGTCGAGATTGCCCGAAGCATTGCGGAAGTGGTTAAAACGCTTATCCAACTGGGTAACTACCAAATCTTGTTTGTTTTGAGCATTCATTGCTACGGAAAACTTGTATGAAGGGATTTTGTGAGTCGGCAGCACCCGAGAGACCGAGGGAGGATGGGGTGGAAGTGGAAAACTGTGACTGTGGCATGGGGCCAACAAGTGGTCGCCTCGCCGACTTGCGCCTGTGAGCTTGTGTCTGTCATGTGGTGACAGCGAGGAAGCGTCAGTTACACAAAATAACACTTCAAGCCACTCCTCACTCGGTTTCCTGTGGGGCCAATTCAGGAAATTCCCTTCCGGCCAAAATTCCTTCCGAAATGAAACGTCGAGTGTTGTTGAATTGTTAAGGGATTTGAGAAGAGCAGCTTTTTCTTAGCTCATCCCCAATTCCCCAATTGACGACGAGAAGATGCATAATATGGCAAGTCGTGTTTACGACAGCAAATGATTAAGTTGACAATATTTTTCAGTGCATTCGTGTCGGGCTGACTGACCGACACGATCCACTTGTCATGGCAGCAAGACCCGGCATAAAATCACCGCCTACGCTTCGGGGAGGCTGGAGAAGTCCTTCCCCAGGCGACCTGGTTGCCAGGTAGTTCTTTACTTTGCGGTTCAAGTAAAATGTTTCTTACGAAGTGGACCGAATTGTTTTTGTGATTCAGTAGCTCAGCAGAAAAGGCCAAGCACAGTGACAGA